CGTTCTCACATTTAATACTACTGTAATTTAGTTTTTATTTACATCATTCATTACATTTAATTTCGTGCATAACCACATGCTTCCTTTACATGTTAATTAAAATTCATTGAGAAATTTCTAACAGTGTAGTTTACCACCGCGAGAACTGTTTTATAGTTCGTTAACCGACGAGACTGCTTCCGATGATGATTATCAACACGCGACAAACGTTTGGCGACGTTTTTGCATAGAGACTCTCGGCGATACAGTGATTTGTATCTCAAGACAAATGTGCTTTTATTAGCAGACGTTTTCGAAAATTTTCGTGATACGTATATTGAGAGTTACGGATTGGATCCAGTGTATAATTACACTTTACCGGGGTATACGTGGAACGCTATGTTGAAATACACTGGTATTCGATTCGAATTACTCACCGACATCGATATGGTGATGTTTGTGGAACGTGGTGTACGCGGTGGTTTGAGTCCATGTTCACATAGGTACGCGCAAGCTAATAACAAGTATAACGCATCTTCGTACGATCCTTCGGAACCCTCGACGTACCTCATGTACTTCGACGTGAATAATTTGTACGGTTGGGCGATGTCCGAATCCTTACCGTACGGAGAATTTCAATGGGTCGACGACATCGAGCGCTTTGACGTAATGTCTGTGTCGTCAGACTCCGTTATCGATTATATTCTGGAAGTCGACCTTGCGTATCCACAAAGCGTTCATGACGATCATGTTGATCTTCCATTCTGCCCCACTCGTGAACGGCCTCCCGGAAAACGGAATGTTAAACTGCTGGCCACTCTTTATAATAAGGAGCGCTATGTCGTGTACTATCGTAATCTGCAGCAATGTATTCATCATGGTCTCCGCATCACAAAAATTTACCGTATATTACAATTCGCCCAATCCCCATGGCTTCGCGGATATATCGAACTTAATACGAGATTTAGAATGCTCGCGAATAAAGAATTCGAGAAGAATCTTTACAAATTGATGACAATGCGGTATTTGGAAAAACAATGGAGAACGTACGCGATCACGTTGACGTTTGACTTATAACACATGAGAGATACGGTGGGGAAGCGATGATAGCGAAACCGAATTTTCACAGTAGAAGTATTTTTGTTGCTGTGGAATTGCACAAACTCGAGGTAAAAATGAATAAACCGATATATCTAGGTATGTGCATTCTCGAAATAGATAAGTTGCGTCTATACGAATTTCACTATGAGTACATAATACCATTGTATCGCGATACATGTAAGATTTTGTACACAGACACTGACAGCTTGATTTATCTTCTTGAGTGTATACGTGTGAGAATGTATACGAGGACATCAAGCGTGATATCGCGAGATTCGACACGGGTGATTATCCTGAGAGAAACGCGTATGATATTCCACGCGTTAATAATAAAATACCCGGTTTGATGAAAGATGAAAATTGTGGTGCGATTATGACGAAATTTATTGAACTCAGAGCGAAGATGTACGCGTTGAGAGTGATCGGAAAGGGTGGCACCCAGTTGGACACGGCTCAATTGGACACGAGCCACTCACAGCGCTTGAGACTACAAAGCTCCTAAGCACCGGTCGCTGTGATTGGTGGTGTCTAATCGAGCCGTGGTCAATCGGGATCACCCCATCGGAAAGAGCGATACAAAGAGAATAAAGGGTGTGAAGAAAAACGTAGTCGCGAAAACGTTCACTTTCGACGATTATGTGCGATGTTTGAACGATGTAATGGTACAGTCGAGACGTCAGTCGTGCATACGATCGACATTGCACTAGGTCTACACGGTGTCTGAATTGAAGCTCGCTCTTAGTCCGTACGATGATAAGCGGTACGTCGTACCCGAATCGGTCACTACTCTACCTTGGGGACATTATAAAATACCTCTGTAATGTGTGTTGTATTTTTATTGTAATAATAAAATAAAAAGTTACAATACATCCGTTTTATCTATCCAAGAATTATGTGAACTGTCCATTCCTAACCATTTTACATACACTTTATTTCCTCGTTTGCGTAGTATTTTTTCCACGAGATAAACGTCAGGATTAGAGACTCGCTGTAATTCGTATTCGTAGAATCCACCAGCTATCGGCTTCCCTTGATAATCTTTCAGTAGATACGTTGCAGGATTCGTACGTTGTGTTTTAACGATATAGACAATCTCGGTGGAGCAATTAGGTGTATAACCCTTTTCAAAAATTGTCTTGAATTTACTAATACGTACTGGATCGCTTATCTTGAACATCGTTGGAGCGGCAATTTTTACATGACTGTATACCGTCGACAAGAGTCGTTTTGCAACGGTGGATGTTACGTCTATCGGTCGCATCCCAATGGTTCGATGTTTACGATGATTATAATCTGACAATAGACGCGGTAGCTCGTCGATCCATTTGTACGAGCCATTTAACGTAAACGTTTTCCACATGTTATTCTTGAGTGTACGGTTGAATCGTTCCATCACCGACGCTTTCATCACTGAATACGAATCAAATAATGATTTATGTCGTATCTCTTAACAATGTTTTTCTGCACGGTAACGTTGTAAAATTCCTTTCCTTTATCCGTCTGCAGGTTTCGTGTGTATCGTTCGTCCTCGCGAAATATTGTAGATAACGCTGCGGTCACATCGTTTCCATTCTTGCTCTTGAGTGGTAGAGCCCATGCATATTTACTCAAAGCATCGATAACTGTTAAAATGTAATTGTAACCTTTGTTGAATCGCGCGTAAGGACGCATCTCGACGTCGGCTTGCCATAAATCATCGCAACCGTGCACCACGACGCGACGACGTGGAAAATTTCTTGGCGCGGGTGCGTGGAGTTCTTTCACGAGTTTTCGTTTCTCGATACTCACCTCTCTCTGTTATGACAGGAAACGAGCTTTGCACGTATCTTTTAAACCTTTCTAGATGCGTTTGAATATCTAGACACCTCGTTCAGATGCCGAATCTCGTTCTCGTTACACACATTCGTCGATATTATTTACACAGATCACTTACACCGTGATGCAACATCTTAATATCGTCAAATATGTTTTGAAGCGCCAGCATGAACGTATCTTTCCCTGTCGTTTTAAATGATTCCTCTAACGTCTCTTTCGTCACCGTATTAAACATTTGTTGACGCAAATCAGTTACACCTCGATGAATCTCGTTGGACACTTTCATCAATAATGCGCTTACACTTTTTGAGACTTCCTCCACGTTGTTTCGCACTTTTTCCACATCGTTCGAGATATGTTTCTGCGTATCCCGAAGCGCGCGTACGATCATATCTCTCCCGGTCGTTGTGAACGATTTCTCCAATATCTCGTTAGTCACTACATTTTTCATTCCTGCAGTTACATCTCGAGTCAGACGTGTGATAGCGTCGGATACCCTTTTTTCCATATCACTATATACTTTTAAACTATCTTTCTGCATATCTTGAAGCGCGCGCACGATTATATCTCTTCCTGTTGTTTTAAACGATTTCTCTAACGTCTCCTTCATCACCGTTTCTTTCGTCGCTATATTATGCAATTGTTGATGCAGATCAGTTATACCACGCTGAATCATCTCTTTCGTCACCATATTAAGCATTTGTTGACGCAGATCAGTTATATCACGCTGAATCTCGTTGGACACTTTCGTCGATAGCGCGCTCACACTTTTCGAGATCTCTTCCACGTTGTTTCGCACTTTTTCCACATCGTTCGAGATATCTTTCTGCGTATTCCGAAGCTCGCGTACGATCATATCTCTCCCCATCGTTTCGAACGATTTCTCCAATGTCGCGTTAGTCACTACATTTTTCATTCGTACAGTTACATCTCGAGTCAGACGCTGAATCTCTTCCACGTTTCTTCGCACCTCCTCCATATCGCTCCTTATCGTTCCGCATGATTCCTCAATCTCGTTTCGCGTATCTCGAAGCGTGCGTTCGAGCTTTTGTTTACCGCGTCGGTGTCGAACTCCGGCGCGGCCACGTGTTCTATTTTTCGTTTCTTCGCGTCGTAATGATTCGGATTCAAACAGAACCCACTGTCGTAATTTCGTAAAGTTTCCATCGACAATCGCGACTTTTTGATTTCATCGCTATCGTCTCTCCTCAGAGGCAGACCAAATTTATTCACAGACATCGTATCGAGTTCGCGCGAAAACTGTCACAAGTTTTATTATAACGATTCAATTTATAATTAATCCAGCTTCGCGAAGTTCTTCGATTATAGACAAAATTTTGTTGTCATGAGCGTTATTACCCGCACGACGTGAAGCATCGAGCAATTGAAGACGATCCACCAACTCGTTGGGATCGTCCCAATGAACGCAATCTAAAATGGTTCGAATTCGACATATGTAATCTCACTAATGTGAAACTTTTTTTAAATTCTGATTTTTATCCTTACGACGATATGAATTTAGATTTCGAACACAAAAAATACGCTATACTATACGATATGTATGTAAAATTTCAAAATACGTACTACGGTTAGAACAATCGCGATGCTATGTTTTCTATCAGAGAATTTCTTGTACACAGTCCATTCGTAGTGATCGATTGTTCTCGCCAAAACGAATCGGTAAAGAGCGCCATTGTGGATATTCGTATAGAATTCGAATATATGGAAAATATTCCACTGAACACCACAGCTTATTGTCTTATTATTCACGACAGGGGGTGATAGAGTACAATCCATTGACTAATGTTATTCGCAAAATTGTATAATATTTTTTTCAAGCTCTTTATCGAGTTTCACACGCTATCATATTGTACTGTAACACACATATTCCATTAAATATATTATATCTTACAAAAAATATTGATGATATCATATCCCTTTCCTTTTAGATAGATAAGAGCCTTACTGCAAAATATTAAGGTATGAAACATGATTCATGTCGTATACGTATATAGAAAAATCATGAAACGCGATTCATTACTCTGGACAGAGCGTTCGGGTACGCATCGTTTCTACCGCGTGTCGTATACTTGTGTTACATCGCAATGTCTCTCACGTTTATCATCGTTATCGTTTTCATTACGATTACTACGACGACAACGAGAACGACAGCGTCGACGACAACGACGAATCGTGAAAGCATAGATACTGAAGTAAATCTGTATCTACAAAAGTACGGCTACTTGAGTAAGGCTGGCAACAATACGCAATTATCATTCGAAGAGGGAGAACTTAAACAGGCTATTTCGTTGTTTCAAGAATATTATCAAATACAGGGCGAGATGGTACATTGAATAACTATACGTTATATCAGATGCGTAAACCACGATGTGGTCTCCCTGACATCTACGAGCATAATATAGGTAGACGTAAATGGGCGAAAATACATCTCACGTGACATTTCCAGCTAGCGGATCCACACACCTTGCAAACTACCGAATTCGCGTTCTCGCTATGGGCAGCTAATTCGTCTTTATCGTTCGAACGTAAAACGGTAAATCCCGATATCTTGATATCTTATCGTAATGGCACACACACGTACGCTGATCGTAGACGCAACGAAGAAATTTGCGCCTCTTCGTTAGATGGACCTGGTGGAGTACTCGCTCACGCGTTCTGTCCTCCTACCGTTGACAGTTACAGCGCTGAAATACACATAGATAGTGCAGAACCGTGGCATATATATCTAACTGACAAATCTGCTAGTAGTAACAAGGACTATCTGCTTAACACGTTAATACATGAAATTGGACACGCATTAGGATTAATGCACAGTTCGTGCGAAGAATCCATAATGTTCGCAGTTGTCACTGCTAGAAATAATAATAGAATCGCTAAACTCAACATAGAGGACATTTTAGCCATTCAACACAACTTTATGGAATTAAAAATCCAAAACCAACAACAACCACCAACTACTGAAAGTACAACAAATACACCCACGTATGTAGATCTCTGTACTTTACAATATGTGGATACGGTGTTGGTATTACATCATCGAATATTCGTCACGTATCAACGCTACGTATGGTCGATAGATATAAATGATGCAAAATACGATGGACCACACGTACTAAACAGTTACATGAATTTCCTCCCGGATAATTTTGAATACTGAATCGTCTCATTTCCTCCTTAACCGCAATGACCGATAACGTCGACAAAAAATTTTCACGACTTCTCGCTATCGCGTCCACTGTCACGAAATCTGCGAACATGCTGAAAATGATGTACTATGACGAATCCTTCGACCGCAACGACATCCTCGATTGTGAGTTGATCCTCTGATTTTCGGAGAGCATTAATTATGTACACTATTCGACAATAAACACTATTCTACAATTATAAAGCACTTTTTTATTTATTTTCACACCCTACCTTTATATACTACATATACTTTATATATACTACATATACTTTATATAGGAAAAGGAAATGGTTTATAATCTTTTGAGGAAAAAATGAAAAAATTGCTGCTTGATCGCATAATATATATATTATTACTCACACTGTCGCGTACAGTTATTCTGTACAACTCGTAGAGATTTAATTACGCGATGGACAACGTAATAAATATTGTGCGAAATATACCTGAAGAGCGTCTACTCGAAATCATTGATGATGTTTTCAGGACGTTGAAGACATTGACAATATTGGAAACATCGATGATGACGAGTACTTGTCAGACGATTCAGGATATTGTTCGAATTAAGACAAATACCGCCGCCCTGTAGCAAGTGTATGTGTGTGTGATACGACTGAACGGGCGTCAAACGAACGGCACGGAACGTTGGTGTAAGTGAGATCGGTGCGAGTGAGAACGTTCAACCACCCCGCAGCTCTCTGTAAGAAGAGTAGCGTTGGATGATTCATAATGCAGAATTATGTTTCTCAGAACTAGAACAACTGAAAATATAAAATTCTGCGTTGGGATAAGGAG